CGTCTTGACAATTTTTCAATGAGTTTTATACTATATTACGTAAATTTCAGTATTTGCGAAAATAAATAAATAGCCATGAATATGCGGGAACAGTTTTAAAGAGTTCCATATAATCATTTAATTAAAAAACTAAATATCTGCAACATTCCAATATCAGAAAGTGAAGAATACGACATTTGATGAATTCTTTCGATGTATTCGTTATTAAGGGTTTCACTGTACAAACACATTTTTTTCTAATTTTATGATAAGATTATAACTTATATCGAAATTGAAATTCTATAAATGATTTTTAGAAGAGACCATATTTTAAAACTTAAAGTAAAGTTGTTTTTAATTCAATAATTTCTCCGTTACGTTAGTCGAGAAGCAAGAACTGTGTAATGTGCAAATCCTTTTTGCAGAGAAACCACAAACAGTTTCCCATACAACATCATGGATATCTATTTCATACTTAGTCAGACAAAGCTTTTAAGGGCACCGTTGTGAATCAGAATTGCCTCTGTATCAACGGAGGATTACGTAAAATTACGCTTACAGTACCTTAAAAAACAGATTTACTGTTTACACCGTTTTTTCTTTATCCTAATACACTGTAAATTCAAGTTTATTTCAAATGTCCCGAGCCGACTTTTACCAGCTAGAGCTGCTAGCTGTACAGTACAATTACAGACTTTGTAAGGCAAACCAGGACGGTACAGGGGTCCAAAATCCTTCTAGAGAACTGAGCTACAATGGTTTGATAATTAAGGGCGCGCCAGGAGTTTAAAATTGGTCAGCTGTCTCCTCAAGTACGAATGCCACTGAGTATGCAGATGAAACGTTCAGGGCTTAAGCCAGGATCAGGGTAAGTTAACTAAAAAGGATGACTTAGTCCTGAAATACAAATAACTGGCTAAAGTGCTCAGCATTGCCAATGCAATTTTAAAAACATTTTTAAAATAGGGTACTCTTGGATTCCCTCAAGCATTTCTGCAAATTTGGTAAAATAAAACCTCGAATTATACATCCTTACATACAATATATATATATGAGTGAAGAGCTATAATATATAGATATATAACTACAAGAATGAACAATTTATATGACGAAAGATTTAATGACGAATTATCTACAGTTAAACCCTAAATGAGCCATACATCGAGAGGATTTATCAAATAATTCTATTGACAATTTTTCAATGGGTTTTATACTATTTTACGTAAATCTCAGCAATTGTGAAAATAAATAAATAGATATAAATATGCGGGAACAGTTTTGAAGAGCTCCATATAATCATTTAATTAAAAAACTAAATATCTGCCACATTCCATTATCAGAAAGTGAAGAATACGACATTTGATAAATGGCTTAATTAGGGTTTAACTGTACTAAATTATAGATACAGGGTGTCCCAATAAACATGGGAATTCAGTGACGAATTCGATATCGTCTTTTCAAAAAATTCTTTGATTTAGTATAGTGATACCTACTGAGAAAGCTGTAATCTGTAAGAGTTTCGTCTGCTATATGTTCACATTTTGTTTGTTTACGTTTTGACTGCATACGGTTGTACTTAGTAAAACAAGAAAATTGCAGTATACAAACAGAGTAAACTTATCTTTACTGTTCATCTTGCGGAGACATTATAGACACATCTTTGCAGTCATTTACCCTTTTCATTAAATAAACTCTAGCAGACATAATAATATTATGACTTTTGAAATTAGGTATTACGATGCTAATTCATAACAAAGACGATATCGAATTCGTCACTGAATTTCCATGTTTTTTTGGGACACCCTGTATGTTATTTTATCATCTTTAAATAAATATATTCAAGAAATTTTAACTACGCCATTAATTTACGTATTAAGTAAGTTTATCTTTGTGTGTAAATGAATCTTAATAATAACAAAATATATTAAATATGATATATATGCTATAATTAGATATTTTTAGAGATGTATGTCACGAAAAAAAGATTGTGTTGGCACAGCTGTACCAGATAGTTGAGGTAGAATATTAGCCATTAAGTTAATTGAACACCTTAACCCTCCCCCCAGCTGCAGTACCAGATTTAGGGTTGTTAATCGTTTTTGGAAACGATAGTTTTTTGTTTTTAGAGATGTATGTCACGAAAAAAAGATTGTGTTGGCACAGCTGTACCAGATAGTTGAGGTAAAATATTAGCCATTAAGTTAATTCAACACCTTAACCCTCCCCCCAGCTGCAGTACCAGATTTAGGGTTGTTAATCGTTTTTGGAAAGGATAGTTTTTTGTTTCGTTTTTCAACCGTTTTCATAAACGATCGTTTCGTATTCGGAAAAAACGATCGTTTTAAAAAACGACTCACTCGTTTTGAGCGTTAAGAAAACAAATAACGATCGTTTTTGAAAACCATCGTTTTTATAAAAACGATTTGCGACCGTTTTTTATACGATTGTTTTTTTTAAAACGATCGCTTTTTTAAAAACTCGTTTTTGGAAAAAAAAATTTATTGACAATTATGATAACGATTCATTGTTGTTAATGAAACGACGAGTTTTAAAAACGACCATTTTTAAAAACGAACTTAAAAAAACAATCTTTTTTAAAAACTATCGTGCCGTTTTCGATTTTCGTTGTCGTTTTCACAACGAAACGATAGTTTAAAAAAAAACATTAACATCCCTCTCCCATATAAGCATAACCAAAGATTAAAAACTTTAAATTTATAGATAGAAAACAGTGACCTTTCTTGATACCCGAAATTTTTTTCTTGTTTTTTAAAAACTTAAATTTTTCTATCTATTTTTTCTTTTTTCAAAATTGTTTTGATTTTTAGGAGGAAATCCAAGCCTTTGAGAAGTGCATTCTTACTCAACTTCAGGAGGAGGGTAAAAAGTAAGATAGAATCTAGATTAATCATATATACAGTGAAAACCAGAAAACTCTTGAATGGGAAGACGACTTTAAACTTAAGTTATGACTTTATATAGTCTGATGAACAATGTGCAGGAATTGTGCAGTGTGAACAGACACTTTTTACTAAATAAGTGATTTAATATGTAACTAGGAAAACTGTTTGCTGAGTAACACTTTAGTATTGTTTTAATGTCGTCATCCCATACCACAGTTTTCTGGTTCTCACTGTAGTTTGATAGAAAAATATGATTCAGCTAAGATGAAATATTTATTTAAGTGATAGATGCTAGACAAATTGTACTGATTCTTGATATAATCTTGTCCTGCTTTTTGTAAGAAAATATTGTCAACTACTTGATAAAAACCTTGTCCTTTAAAATATAACCTTGTCCTGGTTTATGTAAGGAAATCTTGTCCTACTTCTTGCTATAACCTTGTCTTTATAACCTTGTCCTGGTTTATGTAAGGAAATCTTGTCCTACTTCTTGCTATAACCTTGTTTTTATAACCTTGTCCTGGTTTATGTAAGGAAATCTTGTCCTACTTCTTGCTATAACCTTGTCTTTATAACCTTGTCCTGGTTTATGTAAGGAAATCTTGTCCTACTTCTTGCTATAACCTTGTTCTTTAAAATATAACCTTGTCCTGGTTTTTTAAGACTTGTAAATATTCTAGCGTGATAACTAAATATTTTCTAATTAATCCCTGACACGAAAAATAAATCTTAAACCTCATACGTAAAATCAGAAAATTTTTGTAACTAAACAAAAAAGATAAAAAATGAATTTTTGTAAAAAAGTAGAAATATTTTTCTAGGGTTTTCCCTACATTCTACTTTAAATTAAAAATTGTCAAATTATTTATTAAACTTGCAGCTGAGACAGAAGGCCAAATTTTACATCATTAATATTTGGTCGTCATGTGTAGTCTCATCAATATGTGGTAAACCCTGTCCGTAAACTTGTTCACCTAAATGGTAAATAGGTCTATTCATTTAACATGCCATCTGATATTTTTATTATTCTCTTCGCTATCAAGGAACTTGGCAATTTATGGAAGAGTACATTTAAAAACTACTGGGACACCAACTGTGGGACAATCCTTGTGTAAGAGAAAATGTACTGCAGTTTCTATGATAAACAACTGCTGAGATTCCTACGTGTTTCCTGATTATCTTCATGTACAGTCGCTTATTCATACAATTGTCGTCGTATAAATCAATACAACAAAGACGACTTTCGATTTAAAGTGTTGATTTATACCAACACCAAGCTTTTTAACAGCAGAAAAAACTGTCAAATTGAAAAAAGACTTATTGGAAATAAAAGCTTAAATAGAAAGTTCGTCTTCATTGTATTGATATAAACGCCGACCACTGTACAAATAATTTAACATTAGAATAATTATTTTATATTTTAGATAAGGAATAAGAAATGAAGAACACAACGATGTAATCACAAATCACAATCAGACACAAAAACATGAAGAACTCAACAATCCCC